GGTATATTATATAGGCCACAAGGGGGGGCAAATTATGCATTGTTCGGGTTTACATCGACCTTAAAGGAGAAATCACTCACCTCATAGTTCTAGCCCACCTGTGACAATGCGACTGTCACAGGTCGGCTCAGTAGATCGGGAGGTGAGCGAACACATACCGGCGTTCGCTCACCTCTCGATCCTGTCACCACTCTCTGCCGTGACAGGGGGAGGGGCTGGATTCCTCCCTCCCAGCTCCGATCCTCCAACGCTGACTGGCGGAACGGACGAGGGAGGGGGCGGGTACAGCTGGCTCTGCCTGTCACGCAGCTGGGCGGATCCCGGCACAATTGTCGGGATCCGCTTCAGATGCGGCGTCTCAGTATACCACGAGTAGTAGCTTGCGGTATACTGAGCCTAGGGTGACGGGAGGACGCTAGTTTGTGTCCTCCCGTTACCCTGAGAACTATGGGGAAAATATTTAACCCCATAGTTCTCCTTTAATGCAAAAAATGTTAGCATTCACATTAGAGGTCCCTGGAAGCTCACCCCCAGACCGAATCTTAAAGAGAAATTCCACCTCTGGCATAAAAAAGTAGTAAACGATCATTAGATTGATTTTAGTGCAATGTGCACTCAATTGTACTGCACACATTTTTGCAATGGATTCTGCAGAGCATTGTACTCTCGATTGGCGTGTCGGGGGTGCAATGCAAAGGCCTGTGTAAACCAGCCTATGAGGTACATACCTGAGAGAGGAAGTGCAGCTTGAACTACAGGACGGGGAGAAGCAGGATGCTACCCAGTTCGCTCTACATAGTTGGCTATGGCGGCAGGCTATGGTGGCAGAAGGGTCTTTTTTTTTATCCCAGGCATAGATGAGGTGAGTAAATTCAGGTGGGGGGGATTGGGTTTTGGGGATGGTACTTTATACCACGTATCAGGTTACACCCATATTTAGCAATTTAAAACATGAATTTGGCCTTTAAAGCACCATTTTCCTGTCGGTCTGCAGGTAATAGGTGCATTTTAGAAGAAATTTGGATGAATTTACTTACCGTACTCTTTTTTTCTTCCCTTTTATAAAGAGACGGCCCCCCCCCCCTCCCCAATCAGAGTTTGGCAGTACAGCAAGTGATAAAAACAACTCACAGAATTCTTCTGTACATTTTGTAACAGCCTAGTGACTCCTGGACCCACTTATTTGCTGCTCTCTGGAGGGGAGCGAACAGCTAGAATTTAATTTTTCCTCCACGTTAAGAAAAACACCAAAACACTTCAGGTGTGACTTGCTTCCATTCCCACGTTTGATTTTGGGAGCTGGATTAAATTAAGAGTAATATGACCAATTATTCATGTTCTGAATGTATCCTGGCTCAGGCATCCAACGTAAGGGACAGTCTGTACTGTGCTGGAACATTCTTATTTTTACATGAAATTAAAAAAACCAAATCTAATTTTTAGCAAGATAATTAAAAAATATATGTTTTTGAATGCTATCCGTTGACAGCAAAACTTTCATAGCAAACAGTAGGTCTCCCCCCTACAAACAACCCCCATCCCAGGAAACACAAAACACTAGGTGCCTTTCCTGGTGCAAATAAACCTTTTATTGATAAAAATAGGTATACAAAAATATATACTAAAGGAAGCAAGGGTTAAAAAAGTAAATTGACTGATAATCCTTAGTGACTTTTCTGTAGTGGAAATGAGTTGGAGCAATTAAAAGACAATCCAAGAGCCTTGCTTTTCCCCACAGTCCAGCTCTAAGGAAGGGGGGGGGGGGTCAGCAAAACGGCACCCGGTATTTTGTGCTGGGATCCCTCATCTGAAACGGGGCAGCCTTACCGGATCTTAAACACTTTGGACTATAGGAGGGTTCGTTTTGCCGCTGATCGGTGTATATCTTGGAAATGCCGTTCTCCCCCCGATCCCTTCCCTGACAATATAACCTACCTCAGCTCCAGCCACCGATGCATCCAAGAGGCACAGGTGACATAATTGGAAGATCAAAATCCCACAAGGATGCACAACAGGATTTCAGCATTGAAGCACCAGCACGTGGGAAAGGGGTGGGATGGGGCGAGTACTGTAATAGCTTGTGCCAGGGTGCAAATATGTGCCATGGAAGGTCCAATTTAATGTACCTGAATTTGTCGTCACAGTGGCCTCTATTACCCACTGCACAGCAGCACTGAGATTAAGAGAGAGGACCTGAGAGGACCAAACTGACAGAAACAGACAGCAGATGGGTGACATCACTGTGCCCATGCCATTTCTGTGTCCAATTAGCAGGATGAACCCACAAATCTGCGCTCTGATCTGTGAATTGGAATGCAGATGATTAACATTCTCTCAGCAAGGGGCAGCAGGTTTAGGAACTGTCATCCAGAAACAGTTTTAGAGAATGCATGGCTGTTTTGCATACATTTTCTTTATTATGGGAAAGGCAAAAAAAAGCATAGTTTTAAAAAGGGGTTTTTTTATTTAGTCAGGTGAATATGAAGGACTGCAAATTTAATGTTCACTTTAATCCAACAGAGCTCCCTTATCACGTGATTGAAAGAATTTATTTACCTCCCAGCCATGCTTATGAAAGAAAAATGAATGCAGCTCTGTATTCATCAATGCCTTAAGGGTCCATTCACACTGGATCCGCTGCATTGCAATACATTTTTCAACGGATGCCAACCTAAGGGCACCAAAAACATAACAAAAATGCAGTTCCATTGAGTTAAATGCACCACCACGCCCCCTCCCGTCCCAAAAAAAACTGAGCCGGCCAGGTTTGCGTTCCAGAGGCCGAACACACTCTTGGTGTGACTGGGCACTCAATGAACATAAATATCTGCAAGGGGTTTGTATGTTCTCCCTGTGCTTGCGTGAGTTTCTTCCGGGTACTCCGGTTTCCTCCCACACTCCAAAGACATGCTGGAAGGTTAACTGGCTCCTGTCTAAATTGGCCCTGTATGTATGCATGCGAGATAGGGATCTTAGACTGGAAGCTCCTTGAGGGTAGGGACTGATACGAATGTGCAACTATGTAAAGCGCTGTGTAAATTGTCGGCACTCTATAAATACCTGTAATAAATCAAATATAAATCCTCTGGCAGGTAGAGCAGCTCTCTGTATGCACAATATCTGTGTATTTAGCCATCTGACTGGAAAATAAAGTTCCACTGATCCAAACCATTATAGCTTCCCTTTAAAAGGTAAGCCAAGCAGCATTATCTGAAGTTGTTCTTTAATGTGACAAAAAAAAAATATCTGCCAAGCATGAGTTCATGGCAAAGCGGTTTGATTTATACAGCTATGCGGCAGCAAAATACATAAATACAAGTACACAAAACAATGACTGTTCATCCGAGACGCAGGCTAAGATGACCTTGACCATGACAAACAAATTTACAGGGGCCAAGCAAACAGCTGTTATTACAAAACCGATCCTGCAATAATGGAGATGGCGCAATTGTACGCTGCTAGTATAAGGTGGATGTTTCAGCAACAGGTCAAGCAGAAAGAGCCCTTACCGTGCAACTGTGCATTTGTGAGTCAGACATCAAGAATCTAACAAGGTCTGCTCAAACACCCCTTTACAAATCAAATACTGTAGGTGTAAAATGTACGTGTAAAAATAAAATTATACCCCTCTCCTCTGAACGGTGGAGCGTTACGCCACCGGGAAGATTCCTGAGGAATGTGAGAAGACGCTCCAGTGCCTTTTCACACGATTCTGGTTACTCTGTACTCCCCAGGATCTAGCCAAAAGGAGTGTGACATCATCCAGGCCTAAGCGCCATGGATGGAAGACTGGGGTGTGGTGGGTATAAACCTTAAATATTTATTTGTGATGGGGCCCGGGCAGTGTAAGTGGACTGTGTATCGGTTGCATGTTGTATAATGACATTGCAGTAGAATTCAAATACTCAGTACTAGGATACCCCACGGCGTTACTAGGATATTTGTATCTGTTGCACTCTAATGCTTCTATATACATGTCAAATACAAAATCTTTAGCACAAGCATTCCTTGGATGATAGGTGACAGAACTGAAGCCAACTTTTCGACTTTAGGTCCAATTTAAAGAATAGATTCAGCAACAGGGTAGCCTATGGTGAATCTGCAAGCCATCAACATTAGAGGTAAGTGAACCTTTAACCTCTTGCCGCCCGCAGTAAAAAAACGGACGGACGGCACTGCTGCATCTGCGGGTTGCCGTCTCCAGACGACAATTTTTTTCTGCTCGCGCGCAAAAGGAAGCGATGGAGAGAGACTGAGGGATTCAAAATAAGGACTTAAAGTATGGACAATAAAAGTTACTCTTGCAGTGGAGACCCCTCCGCACTAAGTATTATTTAGTTGTCTGTTAGAGGGCGATTGGAATAAGGTGAAATATTTTTTACTCCGGTAGTTTTCCTCTGCTGCATGACTTGTCGCCTGAAGGTCCTTCTCCTCGCTGCCTGACCAGTTGCAGCTCTCCAACGCCATCACATAAAATGTAGGACCAGCAGTCCAATATTGTATGCAGGGTGTCCGAGGGTCTGCCCACAACTCAATAGCTTGGAGAGCGGAGCACAGGGGTAACGAGGAAAAAGGGAATTCACCATATTATTTCTTCGACAAAACGAGCAAATGGCTCCAGCCAGGAGTTCAAATTTAAATCTATAGGCATAATCTTTCAATGACCTACAAGATGGTAAGTTCTCAAGGAGCAGGGTCCTCCTAACCCTCCTGTATTGAAAATATAGTAATGTTTGCCATCTGCAGTCTTATTACAAAGACACTAGTATGTAAATATAAGCATCTATCTATATATCGATAGAAGAAATCACCTGATTTGCTGATCTACAAATGTGTGTCCAGGATTGTACAAGTGGTGTTTCAAGTTAAAAGAGATAAATCACATCTTCAGCACAAGATGGCAGCTCATGCTCTTCTCTACATTTACGCAATTTGAGAAAACAAAACTGGATGCTTCTGCGGCACAACATGGTGGTGCTCAATGTCAAAAAGGAACTTACCTTCCAGAAATTATCCACTTTGCCATAAACAAGAGACTGGTTCTGCCGTTTGATGTCGCTCATGTGTCTGATGTCGCTGGCATTGAGATGTTGCTCCACCACGAACCCCAGGAAGCTGTTATCTGGTGTGTGAGCTGTATGGGTGGGAAGACAACATGCTGTAAATACTGATTCAGCTAGAAAGGGCAAGCCATTGTTACAATTGTTTAATGCACTATTACAGGTTCAAAAACCAGGACTGTTGAGAAACTGAGCTGAATGGCAGGAAGTTGCATTACACAGACTGATTAATGTCTTTGAAGACTCGTCCCCTTCCTCTTACTAGGAAACTGAAGTGTCTCAATCAGTTTGCACACGCTTCCTGCAAGCACGCATACCTTTAATCCATATACCTAGGTATCACCAATATCCAAATTTAAAGCAATTGTTTTAAATTGTTTTGCTAGTATTAAAAATGTCAAGCAGCAGCCCCGTGTAAAATAAAATGGATGAATGTTTACCTGTCTAGCAGGCTGGAGCAGTCCATGCTTTTCTCTAGTGCAGAGCTACGTGTGCCCTTGCCATCAGACACCTCTAGTTGTGTTGGGTACAATGTCTACTGCCGAGATCTGTTGTTCCTCCCATCAACCGCTATGTCAATACAGAAGAAAATAGTCACATAGCAGGCGGGAAGAGCAACAGGGCGCAGTAGGGGACACACTATCAGATACGCCTGGAAGCGTTACACAGCAGCATCTCCCGGGGCTCTGCAAGAGAGGAAAGAATGGCATCTCTGCCTGTTTCATTCTAATGGGGTGGTAAGAGTGGAAACGCTTGAGAAACTCGTCTGATCTTCATTGCCTTGTCCCTGCTGAGAATTTCCCCTCACTTGCTGACCTGGAGTCACTGTCGAAGGGACAGTAGATGGGAAATCTTTCTAATGTGGAAGGGTTTTCCTTCTGTCTGTGACTCGTGCCATTGAGCACAACCACAGACATTGTCCTACTGTTACTGGGAAAGGAAAGAAAAAATTATTGCCTTCATAGCATTATAGACAAGAATATCAGAGGTTTTTAACCCCTCTCCAGTCTATCCAAAACTAAAGAAAACATGACTGGAGTTTGGCTTTAAAACATGCATGTAACTTGCTGAAGGACTACATTTCTGTGCACTCAGGTGAGCAGACAATCTCAACAGAGGACCTGCTTGCATCAATGAATATTAGCATAACATATCCATTCACCTATTTTTTTCCCCCTTTGTCAGCAGAGCAGGAAAAACGATACAAAAGTTTGTTTTATTTTGAAGCTGAATCCCAGACAAGGTGAAAAGGGCATAAAACAAAACCGTACACCATCCTATATCATCATCAGTTTTCATCAGAAGAAAATGCTTCCAATTGTCAGCTGGAATTTAATTTTAGGCTGTCACAGCCCCAGGCAGAATTGCTAGGATAGAGAGAGCGCGATAGAGAATACAAATTTCAAGGAGAAATTGTTTGGTAACAAGTTTACAGAAATTGAATTGCTGGACAGCGCTCGCTTTACAGGGAACAGCCAGGAACAGTAATAAGTTTCTCTATCTGCCTGTCCATGTCAGTCACATCTATCGCTCAGCTGAACATGAAAGAGAACCATCTGGCAATAAGGAAAGAGACATGGAACACTGGACCGGTGTTATCCAAGGACATGACTGCGCTAAAGATAAGAAAATTAGTTAAACATTAATGATCTTTATAGATCATTAAATCGTAATGGAAAATGTATTGCTTTTTGAGGAGATAATGAAATAACGGAAAATGACTTTCACTGGAGAACAAGAATGCAACGTAATGCCTGCACTTCCAGGCGGTTCCTAAGAGCAGCATTGCAATATTTACTTTTCTGGTGAAAATGCTGCTCTGGTACCCCTTTAGGCTGGGTTCACACTTATGCGTATCGAATATGCGCGTTTGTGGCGCGTTTCGTGCCACGCATTTTACCGTGATTCGCGGTAGACAAACGCGCGTTTCCGAGTGCTACCTGGCTGTATCCCACTGGATACGCGTGACAAATACGCCCCAAAGAAGCTTCTGTACTTCTTTGGGCGAAGGGCGTTTTGCAGCACGTTCCTACGTGCTGTAAAACGCCCAGGTGGGAACCATGCCCATAGGCAATCATTGGTTTTCACATGTTGGAGCGTTTTACCAGGCCTTAGTGCAAAACCTAATCACTACTTCACATAATCTCTACTGAAGGACCAGCTAGTCTAATATCAGATAACTTAATTCCTAGGCTTTAGGTTATATACGGCATAGCAGGTAGAGCAAAGCAGCATCTTGCCCCAAAAGTATTTGAGCCCTTCTGTTACTTGTCAGTTATCCATCTCATTAAGTTGAACCGAAAATGGTTTCTATTCAATTCCTATCGTATATTTTCTTAGGTTTACAGTTTAACTGAAATGTTATCTTATTGGTATAGAGCAGCCTTTACCAACCTTTACACCTCAGAGGAACCCTTGAAAAAACGGTCAGGTCCTAGAGAACTCATCCAAAATGATCATGATTATAGAAGGTATTAAATGAAAGGACAATGAATATGGAATTCCTAGAGTATCTGACACCCCGGGCGAGTCATCTTACACACCCTCCTGATCTACATATCCAAATTATTTTCTGTAACAATGATTAATAAAATAATAATAAATAGTTGCTGTGTCTGCTTACACTAGTGATCAGTGGAGAAAGGCCCCATATAATGGTGGTCAATCAACCAGGGCTCAAAATTTCCACTCGCCCCCTCGCAATCGACGAGTGAAAATTGCGTGGGGGCGAGTGGAAATTAATCGACTGGGGGGTGCGCAACTACCGCTGCTTCTGCGGCGATCGTTCTCTTTAGTTCTCTCTTCTATGGTCGGGGTTAAGGGAAGACAGCTGAAGTGATTCTTCTCCTCCGCGGCCTAGGGTTCCCCGAAAGCCAGTATAGAGAAGGATGCTGGAGTTTCCAATAAAGCCCAACATTTTCTGCCTGTCATTTGGCAGCTGTTTCTTTTTCTGATGTTTCTTTTAAGGGGAAGCATTCCAATACTCGGGGTACTGTTATTTTTTTAAATACAAACTGCATATAGAGCTCCTGCTGGTGAATTTAATTTACACCCAATAAAAAAAAAAATTTTTTTTATTCTGGTGCGAAATAAAAGTATATTTGAAAAAACTCCCCGAGATTCACACTGCATTGGGTTAATAGAATATAAAATGAAGAACATCCCCTATAAAAACAGCAAACATTTTAGAACTCTGGAGAAGCAGACTTACGGAACATCGTATAGAACTGTTGAGGGTTTAGGTTCCACTTGCCCCAAGGTGTTTTGTGGCCTTTGGATTGAGCGTAATGGGCATGATTGAACTCTGGTTCTGTCCCAAATGAATCCAGAACTCGCAGCATACACCTGAAAAATGTAAACACAATTTGCGACTCAAACAAATAGTAACAAACAGGGTGTTCTATTGAGGTAAAAACAGATCTCCATTCCACTTCCCAAATTTCTACAACCATTAGCAGTGCAAAAACACAAGATTAAAGCCGTATTAAACTCCCGAACGTTTCTCATTAAAGAATCCAGATGAAACAAATATACATTGAAACAAATATACAAAATGTAAAGTATTTCTTTACATTTTTGCCCAAACACTTAAGTCATCATGTTTTCAGACAGCTCCAACTCTTAGTGACATTAAACCCTCAGATTTTTTTAACATAAAATACTGTAATGTGCGCCTTACTGTAATCCATGGTTGTTTCCCTTCTCTTTGCTGCTCTTCCTTTTAAATCCTCATGTCTTCTCATGCTGGGGGAGAACTTCCCTTTGCAGCTGAGTGCCTCTTCCTGTAGTGCTGGCTCAGGTTGCAAACCTACACACAGACACCATGTAGCCATTCCAGAGACAAGGCAGTCTGCTGCAAAACAGAAGTTCTGCCCAGCATGAGAAGAGATAAGGATTTAAAAGGAAGAGCAGCAAAGAGAAGGGAAACAACCATGGATTACAGTAAGGCACACATTACAGTATTGTTTTAGGTTAAAAAAATCTGAGGGTTTAATGTTACTTTAACTTCCTGTCCCGTCCAAAATCAAAAAGGAGCAGAGCAGTCTACAGCAACTGTCCATCTACTAGCATGGAGCAGGGAGGTGAAGGAGGGGGTTGCAAGTGGTTTCTTTGTTGTGTTTGTGGAGACACAGAGCTTACTAGCACACCCTGCAAGGGAAAGGAGCCACCCTAAAACAGGATATCAGGGCCAGTGCTCAGGGGATCAGCTGATTCTGCAGGAAACGTACATGAAGAAGCAACTTGCATTATAAGTGAATTAAATCAACACTCGAAATAGCTGAAAACCCTTTTGATTTTAATATCACTTTAAAAAGGTCCATGCATGTAGAAGTTGTATCCTTTAAATGTAAAGCTGAACTCAAGTCAAACAGCTAAATACACAGCTGCAATACAGGATTTGGTAGTTGCACACACATTCAAATCCTTTGGAAGGTAAAACCATCCAGTTCTAAAATGAACACAGCTCTGCCTCTTTCTGGGAGAGCACAAGTGCTGCTGTAAAGGGAGTTTCAAGAGGCTGATACCGGGTCAAAAAGGCAAGTAATTTCACTGCTTGCATTAAAAAACCAAATCAAAAACAAAAAAACAAACAAACTGTTAACGGGTAATTCCATTTTACCAGCTAAATTGGGAAACGGAAATCACCCCGACAAATAGGTCCTCTTTGCCCCCTTCCCCCAGTAGCCATACATTTGAGCGGGGCCGCTATTCCCACTCGCAACTAGTCTACATACTATACACAGCATTGCAGCACATTAATCTGTATATGGAATAATGCTCACAAATGGAGAGCTGTCATTGCTCCGCGCTCTCATATGACCACGCTGACCAATGAGAAGCACTTCTTAGCAAGGTCAGGTGACCGCACTGACTAATGACTGCTGGCCATTTGCACGTATTATCCCATATACAGAGTACCGGGCTGCTATGCTGTGTCCCATACAACGGCCGCAGTGAGGAAAGTGGGGAACCAAAGGTATGATTAATGGTGAGGGGAGGGGGGGGGGAGGGATGAGGTAGCTGATCAGGGAGAAGGGGGGGTGCAGCAGAGAGGACCAATTTATGGGGGTCATTTCCCTTTAATGATGGATACAGAGCTGCATTCATTTTTGTTATTTATATCTGCCTGGAGTTCAGTTTTAAGCATGACTCTCACAAGATCTTCTGGCAGGAGATCATAAATGATTAAACCCAAGTAGCTGCTGAACAACTTAAAGAATTAGCCACGTGCCAGAACAAAGGGCGAAGTAAAGTGCATATTACCAAGAGAACGGAATGCAGTTCCTGGATAGAAGATGCAGCCTAAAATATAAACACGTTAGGACACCTCATTGTGCCCTGTACAGTTCACATGGCCAAGTCTAAGATGGAAACAAATGATGACTGTAGAGACACAGAACTGTCAGGAGGTATATAGAGATGGGAAGAGATAGATGGACAGCTCAGGCTCAGAACTGACACATCCTACATCAGCACAGACGTCGTCTTCTACGCATCAAAAGATTTCAGGAACAAAGAGCATACAGCATTGTACATTTACAGCAGGTTTACTGGGCCCCATTATCAAAGGTGTTTCAGAGGGATGACAATGGACCTGTCACCAACACATCCCTCAATAGAACAAATATCTTTATGGGTGGGATGTTACAGCTTTATATAAATTGTACCACTCAACATCCGACTCCACAAGAGAGAAACCAATTTTCCCATAACATACTTATAAGTGAACTGGCCCTGAACCTAAAGTGGCAATAGAACTCTTATCAGTAGGTTTCTGAACTGTGGAAGGAAGTAGGTTTACCTGAAAGAGGCCAACACAAACCATGGAGAGAATATAAAAACTTTGTGTTAATTGATTTTAGGATCTTTGCACTGGACACAATTGCATGGACTGCCTGTTGGAAGGCTTTTATCCATTTGCTTGGACAAATCCATGTATATTAATGTGTGCCTGGAAGGACAGACGGGACTTGGTTTATGGAAAGATGGAGGGCTGCAGGCTAAAAAAAGTGTATAAATTATGTAGCAACCATTTACTATAGATATCATACAAGGCCTATTATGCCAGTCCTTCATAGTATACTTCATGGTCGTAATGAACTTTTTGTTACGTTCATTCAGAAATATACTGCCTGGCCCCAAAAAAAAGTCACCACCTGGATTTAGACAAGGAACAGGTAAGCGTTTTCCATTGGATAACAGGTCTAGGTTCAGCAACGTTATGTCTCCCAAAAAATGAGGTCCGCTGCCTGCCTGAATATACTGAATGACCAGGTTTTTCTATCAATTGATTTTTTCTTCCCTGATGGCACATTGGGCATATTCCAAGATGACAGCGTCAGGATTTATCGGGCTCAGATTGTGAAAGAGTGGTTCAGGGGGCATGAGACATTGTCACACATGGATTGGCCACCACAGAGTCCAGACCTGAAACCCATTGAGAATCTTTGGGATGTCCTGGAGAAGACTTTACACAGTGCTCCGACTCTCCCATCATCACTACAAGATCTTGGAAGAAATAAATGCAACTCTGGACGGAAATAAATGTCTCATTGCATAAACAATGCCACGGCAAATGTGTGACATAAAAGCCAAAGGCAGTCCCATGAAATGTTAAGAGTGTGCGACTTTTGTTGGCCAGGCAGTGAATATATCTACCTGGTTACATGACATTCAGCAAACATTTAATCCGTCTAGCAATATTTGTATACTCTGTAGGTCCACTTGAAGCCAACGTAGGACTGCTTTAACCACACGCAATCCCCAAAATGGACCGCCCATGGCAAACCCTGGGTCCACCAGTCAGTTGGTGGAGTCCGCTCCAGAGCTGAGCCAGCCCCCCACATAATAGGATTGATCAATGCTACGAGACGAGCGCGGAAATGGCTTTATGATGGGTTTATGTGTTGTAATCAAACACGCAAATTTAATTTCTGAGCACCTGGCTGATGGTGTGATATCAGTTTATGGTTGCTATATACATTTAGTTTATGGACCTCTGATGTGGCGACAGCTATAAACAGTAGTTTTACTAGTAGCCAGCTTGTCACACTGGCCTTTTGTACCCACAATGAATACACAATGTTTTACCCTTAAAATGTTGTAAGATGCATAGGGGCTGATATATAAAGATAGTGCCAAGGAGCTTAGGAAATGCCTATGTTCCTCAAGCTTCATCTAGTGGCTGTAAAGCCATGTGAACGGCATTCACACAGCTATAGCCTGCACAAAGCCTTTACACAAACGTCCCATAGTGTTTTGGTTCAGTTCATAAATCTTAACATACATAATTAGCAATAAAGGTCACCTCGCCATGTCCTTTGCAGTGTACCAGCTTTCTCACCATGCAAAATATGCATTTCACAACGCATTTCATTATCAAGCAGAACTCCTATAAAAGGACAACTGCACCCAAAATGAATCATGCCTCCTACAAAACTTTCACAAAAAGGTCCCTTTTCACAGCAGAGACTCCCACGTTTGTCTTGTCTACATTGAAGCAGAACTGAAGTGAAAGCCATTGCTAGCAGGTAGTTTTACTGGCAGAGAAAGCATTCTGGCAAATCGTACAATGTACACTCAGAATGGAGCTGCGTTGTGATAATGCAACTCATCAGTGGCAGACCAAAGAAAGTAGACCTCTGATGTGGAATAAATGAAGCAGTTTTTGGAGGAGGAGGAGGTAAGCAGGAGACAAAGAGGTAGGACTTCCATATTCAGCAAATATGCTGTACCTACTTGCATATAAGGGCAAATTATCTCACGACCTGGCAACACTAAGCTTTAAGGGGAATCCAGTTGGGCGAGTGATGGCATCAACTGGCTGTATTGGTTGGGTGGAGCTGCTAATTCTGGTAGGGAGATCGTCACTGGATGATGGTATAAGATGCTAGAGCATGAATCATGAAGAGAATGCGGAGGTAGATGAACAAGATCAGCTAAACAAAATCACAAATACCTTGGCAGGTAAAATGGTATTTCGCCCATCCATTATCTGCTTTGCTGGAGTGGAGTTATGAACCCAATAGGTGCGGCCAATAGGGCTGCAACAACTAATCGACATAATCGATTGAAAAAGTGGTCACCTTTTTCAATCATCGATTAATCGGCTTCCGATTGGTTGACCCTGTTCATGGCTCCACACACTGCGCGCCGCACTTCCTCCCCACCTCACGCTCGCCGCTGCCAGGCCCGCCACACCACACCTCCTCCCCGCCTGCCCAAATCCACAATCGGCACAGGGACGCGGGGAGAAGAAGTGAGGAGCAGGTGTGGGCGGATGACAGCTGCCGATAGACAGGCCCGATCTCAGAAACAAGTTGCTGGAAGACTGCTCAGGTAAGCCCGCACTTTCCCACACATGGTGCTCTATAATGTATTGCTGGGGTTTGTATTCCTTTATAGCGGATGGTACATTGTGCTCTATATTATACAGAGCATGAACCTGTACCATCAGCTATAGAGGAATACAAATCCCAGCAATACATTGTACGCTGTATGTATAATGTATTGCTGGGATTTGTTGTACTCCATATAGCTGGTGGTATTCTGCATTGCGCTGTATAGAGTACTACAAATCAAGGAATAATACATTATACAGCGCAATGCAGAATACCACCAGCTATAGAGTACAACAAATCCCGGCAATAATGCATTATACAGTGCAATGCAGAGTACCACTAGCTATAGAGGACTACAAAACCCAGCAATAGTACATTATACAGCGCAATGCAGAATACCGCCAGCTATAATTATATTATTGCTGGGATTTGTTGTATTCTGCATTGTGCTGTATAATGTACTATTGCTGGGATTTGTTGTATTCCTCTATAGCTGGTGGTATTCTGCATTGTGCTGTATAATGTACTATTGCTGGGATTTGTTGTATTCCTCTATAGCTGGTGGTATTCTGCATTGCGCTGTATAATGTACTATTGCTGGGTTTTGTAGTCCTCTAGCCGATGCCATTCTGCATTCATTGCTGTATAATTTTACACTTTTCATTTCACTATATTGCACACCAGTTTTGTTTTTCTTTTTTACTTCCAGCGCTCCAAGCTTGATCCTGTGATGGACTGCAATCTCAATACAAACTAGTAGTCCATCACTGGAGCCATTTTTTATCCAATTAATCGAACTTAATAAATCGGCTAACTAATCGATTTTGAAAATAATCGTTAGCTGCAGCTCTAGTGGCCAACAGTTAACATGAGGGCAGGTTTTGAGAATTAGAGTAACAGCTAAATCTATGATAAAACAGTTGTGATAAAAGAGGCTCCAATATAGATAAAAGCTTCACCCCCTGCTGTCAAATGACATTTTTATGCATGCCACTTACTGATAGTGCACCCAGGATGGGCCAAGAGTCTTCTTGAACTGAGCCAGTCCCACAATATCGATATAGATGAGTTCCACCACTCTATCACCCTGGGTAGGGCAGCCTGATCGGTTTCCCACAACCTTCTTCATGATCCTGGTAAAATAATAAAAGAAGCTTGAGAAATGATCATATGATGAATTATACTATCTACAGCTAGAAAAGTACTAATGTCGGCACTTCCTGTTCAGGCTCACAACATTCTGTCCCAGATTGTAGCCCTGTGTTGTCATTCTGTCACATGGGCTTCTGATGGAGACTGTTTTAAACCAGATTACAAAAAGGCATGGTACACTGTCACCGATTAGTAACCCTAACCGAGAAATGCCATGCAGCCATCGCTGGTGTGCATGTAGACAGGAATGGTCTACAAGGATGCTGCAGGAGAGGAGTAGCACAGAGGCGCAACAAGAAAGGTGAAAATAAAGATTTTTCGGTTAGGAGTCGACTTACAGCTTTAAACTGGAAGGTCAACAGACATGCCTTTCAGGTAAACGCAGATTAATTTAAGATCTTCAAGTGTGGCTCTAAACCAGGGGTAGCCAAACTCCGGCCCTCCAGCTGTGGTGAAACTACAAATCCCATGATGCATCTCTCTCCGGGAGTCATGTCTGTGGCTGTGAGAATCTTGCAATGCCTCATCGGATTAGTTCCGCCACAGCTGGAGGGCCGGAGTTTGGCCGCCCCCTGTTCTAAACAATCAGATTCTTCAAGATCTTTATAATCTTGAGGGACTAGATCAGCCTTCTCAACTAGGGATCCACCTGAGGTTGCTCGAGTTTCTGTGAGCAACCAACAACGGTGAACTGACCTCCCACCTACGATGACCGAGACAAAGGGGACATTTTACACCAAGCACCAACTAATGAAAGCACTTCACTGGTCACTAATGTTTGGGGAAAATCACAATTTTTACCACCTTGGTTTCTTTTTTGTTAACCATATTTCAAGACCATTTCGCTGTCCAGGTGGGGGTGGGATGGTAAAAAAAAATAATACATGGGTGTCAAATACACTAGGGGAAGAATTTATCAAAACTGGAGCAGCTGTGTGTGACAACCACGGTCTCTCTTTAGTTTGTTCAGGTAAGATTTAGGCCCCATTCACACTGAGCGGATTGCCGCACGATTTCGAAGATTGCCGGCCAATGATTTTCAATAGAGCTGTCTTAATGTACAGCTCCATGTCGCTGGTCGCAACTGCAGGACCCTTTTGGCGGCTGTCGCGTGATTTTTCAATTTTTTTTAATGCAGCCCGATGGTGAAGGTCGTGCTACTGTCACTGGATCGTCGCTCCGACAGTCGCGCTATCCCGGCCGCGCGGATCCGCTTCAAAAGGTATGTTGCTTAGTGTGAATGGGGCCTTAAAAATGAAAGAGGAGCTGATTGGTTGCTGTGCACAGCTACTCCAGATTTGATAAATTCCCTTCTATGTCGCAATTCTACTTATAAGGTTTCTACAAGTTATTGATCACAATAATAAGCGGTGAGCTGTAGGTAAAGTAATTTTTAGCAGAGGCTCCTTAGACCTGAAAACGGTTTCAAAAGGTTCCTCTGGGGTCAAATTTTTTAGGAAAAGTGGACTAGATCAGCAACAGACATTTTCAGTTCCTTCTTTCACTCTAAATTTTCTCTTCCTCCAGACAGCCAGGCTGGAGCCTCTCCAAAATCACAGAGACAACAGTTAATCACTGGAGATTAACACGGCCATGCAGTGCATACAAAGGCAGACTTTGTAATATAATTTAGTGGCCAACTACTTAACCTTTTGCAGAAGTCAGCTACAGCAGGGTGGCTGTCAACGATATTTGAACATCATTACAAGATGTACAGACAGGAGAGGCAGATGTAAATGGCGTAAGAATGAGCTTTGTCTAGCAGGTCTGACTGAGCCAAAACACAATCAGATATGAGATGGTTCCGAATGGAAATGATCACAGATCAGCGCTCTGCAATAAAAAACTCCATTAAGCCCAACATGCATCTAATTTCTCTTAACAGAGCCCTTTGATTAAAAAAAAAAAAAAAGGGGACAAAAAAACAAGATGCCTCTCACCAGCCATCACTTTTGCATTTTATAGAGCGGGTAAAAATCAAAACTTGTCACATTTTTATTGCCTTTTTGTCCTCTTTAAAGGGCTTGTTCACACCAAATGCAGACCAGATCTGCATTAGTTTCTGCACACATAGTGCAGTTTGTTATACTGAGTTTTTTGCCGCGTATCGGGCAGTTTTTGGTTAAAATAGATGTTTTAGTTTAGAATGAGCTTTCAGTGTTCCAGGGCGTTTGCATGCGTTTGAGGGTGTTTTACCTGCTCTGGAACACATGCAAATAGGGCTTGCTGCAGTTTTTTTTACATGCTCTGGAACTGAACGCAGCGTTGTGAACTAGAGCCTAAAATACCATTGGAATACATTGGACGCAGTTTTGATCCGGTCTGTAACTGCTCTGCTCCTGGAACGCGCTTGGTGTGAACAAGGTCTTAGGGAGATTTTCACTAATTTCCTATCCCAGTGACATCAGGACAAGAAAGACAGAACAAAAAATGCCAGACAGATCTTCTATCCCTTTGTCCATTGTACCAACATGTTTTTGTTACAGTCTCTGCCCCCATCAGAGAGATGCATCATCACTTCCTGTTCTTGTGGCATCCCATCACCAGAACAGAAGAAAGGGAAAACCTCCTTGAGGGCCCATTCACACCATGGCGTTGCTCTAAACCTCAGGGGTTCGAATGATAATACACAGCATATGGTACCGCATGCTAAGTGTATTGCTATTTATTCTCAATGGCACCTCCCGACAGGTGGGCACTGCCATGCTGCACAATGTGCGTTGTGTTACACAGGGATGTAGTACATGCATTACCTACCTTTTGGCCTCATAAGGCATGTGTAGGTGCATTTTCATGAACAGGGTTTTTATCCAGGGTTATACACTCATACACATGCACCGGTTTATGAACGTAAACCCATGTACAGCTGCTTACACCTATTCACTACTTTGGGTGGCAGTACACTACAACTGGTTATCCCAGGCATGGAAATACGTCCACAGTATACATTTGTGGGGTTATGGGTCCCTGTACAGGAGGACTTTCACTGCATGGCAAAGCGTGTCATTGCAAGACCGGGCACTGCACGACACTACAATGCATGCCCATTGGGAGGTGCATGGAGAATGAACAAACACAACAGCGTACTTATCTTGTGGTACTGTGCACTAAGCGTGCAGAACCCACAAGAATAGCGCCGTGCCTTGGTCTACAAGGGCCCTAATGGGTACACAGACAGCAGCACAAAACTTACAAAAGTCCTAACCTTTCCCCTCTGTACAAAACAATTGAATTGGGCTTTTTGGTCACCGTACACAACTAGCCTATCTTAGCTGAACAGATCTGAACCTGGAAAATCTCAGCTTTTATGAGGCTTTTAATGGTTCACTCAGCATAAGCATACAAGAAGTCGAGAGCTGATCTCCCCGTGCAAAAACCTCCCTTTTCTAGATGGACAAAAGGGCAACCATCACCCTGCAATTGGAGACTTTCCTATCCCCCGACAATGGTCCTCATCACTCACAGAACTCAGAGCCTTTCTTATTTAATACATTCAGATTGTAATCTCTTGTAAACTTGTAAAAAAGGTAGCCACCACAGTAGGTTTCCCTTAAAACGAAAATATTTACACACACACACACACACACACACACACACACACACACACACACACACATACAGGTATATATTTTCTGAGAGTTTGGTTATATCAGTTTAATAAGGTGCAAAAGTAAATAAAATTATCCTTCCAAACATACAGTGAGCTGATAACTTGCTATGCTCTCTGGTTGTGTTTTATTCCCATCACTTACATTGTGCTCAATCATCTGAGGACTCCGGAACCCCTCCCATGTCATGGAGAGGGGAAGGATTCCGTTGTCCTATTCTGTTTCAGTTGATCTGATACAGTAGTGAGTGTTGTCACCCTAGGACAGAAAGTGTACAGCAGGTCAGATCACCAAGTAAATAAGAAAAAAAGCTTAAGAATTATAGCCAAGCTATTCTTTTTTTGGCTTTATTTCTCTTTTGGGTCATAACAGGACATTTATGAATGTCCTCCTGTGACCCAGAGCCAGCATATAGCCCGCTGTATGCTGAAAGCGCAGAGCCGCGCTCCAGCCGGGAATGATACTGATAATATTGTCGGGATCCACACCGCTGCCTGATTGACAGCTGGGTAGAGCTAGCCCCCTCCCCTGTCTGTCCCTCCAATGAGCACTGGAGGAATGGGGAGGGGAGGGAGGAATCCCTGCAGGGAGCGGTGATTGACACGGAGAAGCCATGAGCTAAGCGATCAGTGGTTTGTAATCGCTCAGTTCTTGAGCCATAGAGCTGGCGTGTGACACCTGCAGTGTCCCATGCCAGCTCAAAGTATTGGGTAGAGTACATGTTACTCTCCCAATAGTCCTTTAAAAAAAAAATGAAAACTAATGTAGCCATTACGTCTAAGGAATGGAAAGCTACATTGTACTCCATTTTTGTTTTAGGGTTAGGATACACTTTATAGTAACCGTGTCATTTCAAAAACAAGGTCAAAAATAAAAAAAAGGTCAATTTCAGCACTATTGGGGGCTTATGCCTGCATGCTAATGGTGCGCGTCTTTTTTTTAGTATAGATTGGTTTCCAGAAAAGAACCGACGTGAAAATTAAATACTGAAAAATTATGAAAACATAGCGCAGCCATAGAAAGTAATCTTCTTAAATGCAATTAGTCACCGGAATACTCTGCCGCTTCTCCCCCTAACACCACACACTGAGAAAGCGTCTACAGTCGCTGCGCGTTCACAGTCGGTTTTAACGTTGAAAGTAATCTTCTTACTCTTTCAGCTCAGCTATTGAAGCTGAAATCCTGACATCATGGCCCAGTAAGTAAAGAGATGTAATTAAGTCACTCCACTGGACTAATTCGCCGAGCGGCCCTCCGCTGAATGCATTTTCAGCTATCTTGAAACCAGATTCCTTTGTCAGGAGGCCCAGATGAACGAGGATCTGAAGAGGGAGGGAAGAAGAAAAAAAAAAAAAAGTAATTTTATGTTAAAGAGGCACAGTCATTTTGTTCCATTACTCTAGATCCTTAAAGAACTCCAATAAAACCTTCTAATAGCATATAGAATCACAAATCAAAACGGGGCATCATCTTCACACAATTTTGTTTGTGCCAATTAGAATTTTGATCGTTGAGAAACTTTTCTTTCGACAGCGCCAAACAGACGTTTGTGTCAGGGTAGGATATCATCCAAAACTACTTCCCCCTAGGAGTGTCAGAGCTTTCCTATGGACCTCACTGGCCATTAGGAATGTTCAGGCAAGCTTCAGAAACATTAGGAACTGACCAAGCTTTGCTCAGCATTCAGGCCATGCGGGTGTGAAAGCTGCTGAAGGCAATTATCAGCACCTCTGGGTACCAGAACTTCATAGTTTTACATTTTGGTTTTTTAAAGGGAGAGTCCCCAAGCTGCCTACAGACTTCAGATCGCATCCTTTGTATGTGTGTGATCCAAACACTGATACAACTGACCATTAAAAAAAAAAATCATCTTCAAACATGTTGATGTCCACTAAACATGCATGGTTAGGAGTATGGGTGGGGTACATGATGGGTTAGTAGATACCCTTGGATCCTCTCAGAAAAATTCCAAAAACGGCTCTCCCCCTGAGAAAGCTGGAATGGGTCTGGGAGTACAAGTCTAGTGCTATATAGTTAAAGCTGAAGTTTAGTTCACTTTTTGTTTTGGTGGGGGGGTTATAGGTTATACACCACACGGGGCATGGGATACACTTCATTAAAGTTAAGACATGTCCTGATGGCTCCTGTAGCGACCCTCCCTTCAGAGATCCTCTTCAAATCAGTGAAGTTTTGGCACTGCATGGGTTACCTGCCTCTGCTGTAATAGTGAAGGAATCGCACATCCATTCCAAAACTCAAACATGTCTCCTCCAGTCACAGAAGGCTCACAGAAGAATGCCAAGATCCCCCCCTTTCATATACAAAATGCTTTGCATTATGTGGATTGAGGAGGAGCGGGGGGTGGAAAGGGAGGTCAAGCAGTGCGATTACTTCATTACCGCAGAGGCATCCAACCTATGTAGCACTGGAAGTTCACCACTGTGATGAGCATTCAGCATCACTGAAGGCAGGACATCTACAGGAACCATCAGCCAGCAAGAGATACCATACATTGTATTAGAGGTAAATTATGTCCCTGGTGCTGTATAACCCCCACAAATTAACCAAACTTAATTTTTACAAACAGATACATTTAGATGGTAAGTGAAGACAGAAATTCAGGTATTAATAATGCATCTATTACTTTCAACAGTGTAATTTTTTGGATAACAGTACCCCTTTAATCGTTCCATTCCATACTGTGCTAGCAAATTATCCCCATTTGTCATTTTGAAAGTGTTTGGATGTTTAAAAGGCAGATATACTGGAGGAAAAGAAGAAAATAAGAACCCACGCACTCAAACTAGAAAGTATATGTTTGCACAACAATCTGATCATAATTTATGCAGATTAATTCCGGAGGACTTTGATTAAAGAAAACACTGGAACAGGGCTGACAAAACAAGTCTACGATTAATGTTATTTTCCTATTTTGAAAAGATGTAACCAAAAGCAAGCATTAGGGATGATAGGACGCACTTCAGGACAACCACCCACAAAGTACATGAGCTCAGTGCAGGCAGTAATCCCCCATATTGTATGTAGGGAACAGTAAATGTGACTGCACAAGACAAAAATCACATGCACTACAGAGGCCCCTGTAGAAAATCACATCATTGATCCGAACCATTTAAAGTCAACCTGTATGGAGACGAAATGTAACCTGCAACAGTTAAAAATGCTAGCAGCCTCACTGTCATGCTGATCCAGTGGCTTTAGCACTTGGGAGTCATTCACTTTGAAGGCGATTTACATTTTCACATCAGCAATAGCAGCCTACCTCTAATCCTTACAGCATAGGTTGCCTTTGGCATTTTTCATACTGCAACACATGCGTTTACTGCAGTTTCAAAATGGCTTTGGCCTTAATTGCAAAATGCAGATCATGTGTAACTCTACCAAAGCGCTGTAATGCATTCATTGGTGTAAACAATGACATTGCATTCAGTGCCAACAAGCTCTATAAATATTTACGCAAATATCTGCCGACTATGAAAGCCGGTGGTAGACTGAGCACAGAGAATTTATCCGCAGAAAAGGTCTAAATCAGCCTTTCCTTGGTCAAAAAACAGCCTCTTGCTGAAGGTACTTTTAGGTGATGTGGAATAACCCAACAACCTGTGACCAGATGACCAGAGAGGAATTGACAAAATGAATGTAGGACTCTGGGTCAGCACACAATTTTAGGGCACCAAGGAACATGCATTTCCATCAACAACAAAAATGAATCAAAAAGGAGCCACCTGTGATATTTTGGGGCAAAAGACAATTTTCATTGGGTCGGGCCTTAAAATAAGGCTGGCTGGAATTCCACTATGAGTAGCTCTTGCCATACTGACCTAAGATCGCTAGGAAAAGGATGGGAAGGTGCTCCGATTTGGATAGGATTTACATGTTTTAAACAACCATTCTAGATACGCAGTATCTGTGTTTTATAACAAGCCCTCACTGACCTGGAGGTGCAGGCACTGTGAAACAATTCATCTTCAAAGCTCACAGCAAAAAGCCATTCTAGTCCTGTCAAGCAGGTCTGTTTACTCTGCCCCTAGCAGTACCTCAACGGCTCCATTTAACCTCCTCTCTTGCCCTGGGTTCCGGCTTTGTGTTCCCAAATTAGAAGGCAGCCAAGTCACTGCTGGGAATAGAAGAGGAGCTGTTACTGCTAGGTGGGTGGGGGGGAGCAGGGTAGGCAGAGCTGCTCAATCACTGCTGGGAGAAAGTGGCAGGGGGAACTGAGCTGCTGCTAAGGGGAACTGAGCTGCTGCTAAGGGGAACTGAGCTGCTGCTAAGGGGAACTGAGCTGCTGCTGCGTAAAAGGGAGGGGAAATGAGCTAATCAGTCATTTGAGAGGAGGAAGTAGGGGGAGCTGAGCTATGAACTTAAAATGTGAGTGCGGAGAAATTAGAACCACTGGCCAGGTAATCTTATTTTTGTCACTCTCTCAAAAACTGCCCTCATCACTAATGTCACAGGGAATAAAAGTGAAGGTTACCCCAAAATTTTAAGTTGCCACCCGAACAGGAATAAAGGGGAATCTTAAAATGAAGACTCTTGTTCCTATGACAACTGCCTAAAAGAGAACGAAAAAAGAGAAACCTCCCTAACGAGACAGATGCCAAAAAAAAAAAAGACTGGTTCTGTCCATCCCTCTTTTATACAAACGAAAATCATTTGGAGATTTTATATATATATATACCCATTATAGGACTTGGGTGCTCCTGCCATGACCTTTAAGAACGATTTGCTCCACATTGTCTGCAGCTACACAGGTCAGAAAAGCTCATTTACTGCTACTTAAGAACATGTAAATATTAGAATGACCATAGCCTGGACACTAGAAAAGTCCACTGTAAGGGCTCATTCTGACTGGCGTGCTCGTCCATAAAATGCCCGAACCCGGAAGGGACGTGTGGTGCACAGCAGCCTGCTCTTGCCAATGGGAGGGCGCGGCTGCACTCAATTACAAGCTGTCACAAGGACACCTGGGCCCGCACAGATTTGCAAGTTCGGCTGTGCGCACACTGCCTTCATCCAACTGCGGACACCCAGACCCACACGGATGTGCAGGTTTGGGTGTGCATGTGACCGCGTGTATTTCGTGCAGCCGCGTACTCCAATAAGGAAGAACAGGCTGCTGTGCGCAATTACACATAGCACCTTTCCCTTCCCTTCCAGGATCTGGTCTTTTTATGGGCATGCACACCCTATGGATGTGTAAATCCATCTGAATGAGCCCTAAAGACCCGGTAAGCAAAGTATTCCTCCAACATCAATACAAAAGGTTCATAAAATACACGTTCTAGATGCGATATTTTCACTTACATAGGCTCCTTGGCTTTCTCAGGGCCCGGGTGATTCCTAGCCAGGCTAAGGACAATGTGCAATATAAAGCATGTACTAACTATTCCGCCTTTTTTCCGCCTCTCAAAAGGCATAATGGACATGCTTTCAATGTGTAGTCACTCAGGTGAGAAGACCCACCGGCAAACGAGTTTCTATTATCTAGAACAGCCGATATTAAAACGGCAGATGTTCGCAAATGAGATTTCAGAGCTCCAAAACATTCTCTTTTCAACGACATCGAGGAG